CGCTTCTGGATTAACTTCCTAGCAAAAGCAAAAATCTAATAAACCTCACTCAAAATCATACAACAGGACACGGCCACACTTGTAAATACTACAGTGAAATAGAAAATCTTTCTCATTTGGTTTTCAACGTCTGGATTTACATCCAAATTAAACTTGACCAGTGCCCTTCAGTTTGCAGTAAGTGGAAGTGAAGCTCTGCCAAGTGCTGGGCGTGCACTTAAAAGAATTCCCATTAACATTCACCTCACATCAGCAGGCCTGGAGGTTCACTCCAACATGATTCATCAAAAACTGACACTTTTACTGAGAGTTTACGCAAAATAATCAAATTCAAAGTAACACTGAAGTTAAAATTTTAATCTATTTCATCTCATTTATAATGTCGACGTGTCCGTGAATCAGCTTTTGTCCAAATTTCCAAATCTATTTCACCACTATTTCCTTGATGCTAGAATTCACTTTGGAGAATGCAAGAGTCAGTTTGGTGGTGATAGGCAGTTTTTGTTAGAGTTTAATGTTGGATCTTAACTGACTGAGATGTAAATGAAAAACAAACAATAAAGGATTTAACCAAATCTGTTTAATTCCTGATGCACTTATTCTAAAAACTGGTAAAGGGGTACGCTGAAACTTGGAACTGATTGTATTTGAACGCAGTAATAACAGCTTGTTATTGTGCAATAAATTGTGCAGTGTCAAGTTTGAAGGTGCGTATGCTGTTATTGTTAGGGAAAACATAAAGGTGGAAAAGGAAATAACAAGAAACTAATGAACATTTTATGGAGTCCTTTAGATGAAGTCAAGACTGTGTGAACTATTAAGTCAGATGGCTGGGGGTGTTTCAGATCTATCTATCTATCTATCATCTATCTATCTATCTATCTATCTATCTATCTATCTATCTATCTATCTATCTATCTATCTATCTATCTATCTATCTATCTATCTATCTATCTATCTATCTATCTATCTATCTATCTATCTATCTATCATCTATCTATCTATCTATCTATCTATCTATCTATCTATCTATCTATCTATCTATCTATCTATCTATCTATCATCTATCTATCTATCTATCTATCTATCTATCTATCTATCTATCTATCTATCATCTATCTATCTATCTATCTATCTATCTATCTATCTATCTATCTATCTATCTATCTATCTATCTATCTATCTATCTATCTATCTATCTATCTATCTATCATCTATCTATCTATCTATCTATCTATCTATCTATCTATCTATCTATCTATCTATCTATCTATCTATCTATCTATCTATCTATCTATCAATCTATCTATCTATCTATCTATCTATCTATCTATCTATCTATCTATCTATCTATCTATCTATCTATCTATCTATCTATCTATCTATCTATCTATCTATCTATCTATCTATCTATCTATCTATCTATCTATCTTTCTATCTATCTATCTATCTATCTATCTATCTATCTGAGTCTGAATTTCTACTTTTGAATTTCTACTTTTGAATTTCTGCTGAGGTTCTCCAGGTTGGGACTGGCCATCTTCCTCAAGTGGAAGAGTTTTATTAGTGTTTTGTTCTTGAGTGATGAAGGAGAGATGGGCTGATGGATCAGGACGTCATCTGCATTAGTAAATAGAGTGAAGATCCGTGATGAGGATGGCTGAAGTGAAAAGTTCTGGATTTACAAGTCTGCCAAAACCCTCAACTATGGTCACGGTATCTGGATCAGGATTAATAAAAGGAGATCTAAAAATGGGCCCAAGTAGTTGAAATGATTGTGGTCTGTAGGGTGGTTGAGTTCAGCCTTAGAGGTATCCATCATCCAGTGGGAGCTTGCTGTGGAGACGCTACTCCTCCTCAATAGATGTAAGCTGTGTGGTTCTGATCAGAATGCTGCCTCCCTCTGGAGGTTTTAGGCCCACTGGAAGGAGACCTGAGGCAGACTTGCTAGATTTATATCTGTTACATGTGGGTTTTACAGTTTTTATCTGTTGGTTTGGCTCATTTCTTGAAATAGAAATTACATTCTCAAACCTCTAAGATCATTTGGCGAAACACTCTTACAGTTTAGCACAACACTATAGTTCACCTGCCAAAGCTCATACCTCTTCCAAAACTGTTCACTCAGGCTTCAATCTAAATCCCTTTCTCATTTAAACAGTCAGTGTCTCCAAAATGGCAAAGATCCTTCTCAATAGCTTTGGCTCATTTCTCAACACAGATCGGACATTCTCATCAATCTTGGTGCTTTTATCAAAATAAACCTGGATGGTTGATCACAACAGCATGGTTTACCTGTAAAAGCTCATATTTCTCCTAAAACAGTTCACTCATGTGTCAAAACTACATTCCTTTCTAATCTGAATAGTCAGTGCCCCCAAAATGCATCGTCCCTTTGGCAATGTGTGAGTACTGCCATACAAAATGTTTAGATGTTTTGTCACTATGGCAGAGGACCAACAATATACAACCAAAAAGAATAGCCTCCAAGGTTTGACATCACAGATTGCACTCACACTACCAAGGAAATTATAACCATTTTTTATTCACATGCAAAGAAATTTTCATACATTTGTAAAAAGAAAATGTACATTTTCTTCCTCCTCTTCCTCTTGCTTGAGGAAGAACTTCCCTTTGTTCATTTGCTTGGCCTTGTCTATCTATGTTCAGAGGTCGGACTGGTGCTGGTCAAGCTCTATATATCTGTGTTTGGCAGCACACGATCATGGAAAACACCTGTGTGTGTGACACTCCCCGTTCGTTAGTCTAGTTTCACCTGACCGTAAATGGTAAATGGTAAATGGTCTGTATTTGATATAGCGCCTTCTAGAGTCCTGGGACCCCTCAAGGCGCTTTACAACACAATCAGTCATTCACCCATTCACACACACATTCACACACTGGTGGGGATGAGCTACAATGTAGCCACAGCTGCCCTGGGGCGCACTGACAGAGGCGAGGCTGCCGAGCACTGGCGCCACCGGTCCCTCCGACCACCACCAGCAGGCAACGTGGGTTAAGTGTCTTGCCCAAGGACACAACAACAGCGACAGACTGAGCGGGGCTCGAACCTGCAACCTTCCAATTACGGGGCGAGCACTTAACTCCTGTGCCACCGTCAATGACTGTCATCAATGTATCAAATATTCAAAGAAATTCATATATGGTATTCATGGTATTATGTTCTTGACCAATTCTGACAATTGAACAGACAGTTGTGCATGCGAGTACTTATACAATGAAATCATGCTGACATGTTTTGGAGAGAATGATAATTAGACTGAGAATCAACTAACCAGTTTAGATCTAGAAGATCTATTCATTTGGAAAATGTGCTAAATGTGGGATAACTGTGTAACTGTAGGCTACATGTACTTAATCATTTGCAAAGATGCACTGAGACAATTGAGACATGTACTAAGGCATTTGCCATTTGATAAAACGAATGAGAAATGCCATTCTGTTGTGAACATTTGCCAAGAGGTTTGGAGATTTGTCCGTGTTATTTTGAGAATGTAATTTCTGTTTTAAAAAATGAGCCAAACCAATGGAGAAAAACTGTAAACTACTTAATTTAGTTTCGTGTTTGGTGCAAGGTTAGGTTTTTTAGCATTAAATGTTTGAATGATGTGCAATCAGGTCTTCCTTGAAACAGAGAGGTTCATTTCAAGGACAAACAAAGAAACTATTAACTAAAATAATAATCTCTGATCTAAGAATGCCTTGAATTTCGCCAGGAGCTGCAGAGTGTCTCTGAGGAGCGGTTTCTTCCTGGACCGGTTACCCCAGCAACCCAACCCAACCTTGGACATCAAAAAAGAAAAATCCAGAATTTACGTGTCTTTGAAAGCAGTGCATGATGTTGTAATATATGCAACATTTATTGTCATCCCAGTACCAATGTGTGCAGCATCAGCATCTCTAAACAAATTTTAGGACTGGTAAATGGAGACTATGACATTTTACATGTAATCCAGATCTGTACGGAAGATAATCTGCATCCAGATGGAGCCTCTCTGTTCTGGTTTCCACATCTGATTTAAATGATAGAGGCTGATATGCACAGAGAGAAAACGGCAATGACTGAAGGACCAGAGAGGAAGGGAGACACAATATGAATCAATGAAACGGCATGTTCTCATCAAACTTTGTACAGCCTTTTTTTTTTAAATAAGGAAAAGATCAGGGACGATCAAAGGAATGAAAATAAATCTAACAATTAATCACCAGGTTACCCATCGCCTAGCATTCGAGTGCAAAGCTGCTGAAAATGCTCCAGTGTGTGATCAGCTCAGCTCTGTAGTTCATCAGTCATGCTTGCATGGCTGTAGACTATGTTATGTTTTCTTCATCAAAACAAAGTAAGATTATCAGGGCAGGATGGAAAATGCCAAGTCACTTGACACAGGCCATATAAATCCTATTTATAATAAATTAGCTGCATCAATAAAAGGGAAAGAATGGATTGGAATGTTTACTATGTGAAGTGCCTTGAGATGACTTGTCATGATTTGGCGCTATATAAATAAAATTGAATTGAATTGATAATATAACAAAAAAAAAACACAATTTACATGCAGGAGGCATTAAATAAATGCCTAAACAACATCACATCTGGGATGACAGGAATAAAGGTTTGTTCATTTAATCGCTGGATGATTCACACACTCTGACATTTGTAAAACTGACTCAACATGTAATAAAACACTGAGATCCCCCTGAATAGTGCTTTTAGAAACAAAAGAGTTGTTTTAGACGGGAAACCATACAGTCTACAGCTTGGTAAATAACAATAACATGGATTTGTGAAATGTTCTAATCATAAACATTGACAAACAAATAAAAGGCTTACTGACTATCCTGAAAATGTATTATGTTTTTTTCTTACCTTCTTCAATCTCTAAACTGTGCACCTTTAATGTTTAGCCTGAAGCCGCATTATTTAGCTGTAAGAGTGTATGCACAGAAAATCTGGCCCCTTGGCTGTGTTATAAGCTGCTGGTGAAGGATGCATGATGACTCCATGCAGAGTGAAACAGGTGTACTGTCTCTTTAAGAGAGTTCAGCTCTCGGCTTTGCAGCTAGCTTCACACTACCTGCTGTTTTCCAACAAGATGGCCGTCGCTCCTGAGAGTAGAATCCTCACTTTCAGCGTTTTTAAATGGAGTTCATACTCCTCCACATATTTACCCGAGTGAGTACCGTGCACGTTAGCCCCCCTAATGTTTGCATTACCGTCGGCGGCTACAGGTGACCTTCTATCGCCTTCGTACATCGATGTGTTGTCCAGCCGGCTAGACTGGCCTAACCGATCCTCGTTGCGAGCCAGCTAACGCAACGCCAGGGACATGATTTGGTTCGGAAATGCGACTAATCGATTGCAACTGTGATACAGTAGCTACTGAAAGATTATTTAACTAACAGGACAACGTCTTAACTATTTCTTGTGGATCTGTATTTGTTCTTTAATGAGCTAAAGTCGTGTGATGTGGTGGACTCGTAACGTAAACAAAGCAGGGCAAAGTTAGATTATTTAAAAGTTATCTGTTTTTAATCCATTGCATGTTTGTGTTTGATTGTTTAAAATAACAGTCTGCTTTCCGGTTGCTGTAGCATATAAAATTAAAACCTCAATTTGAACACAACCGGAGGTTTTATGGATAACTCTAGATGCTAGTACGATAGCTAGACTGTAGCATCTATGCTAATGAGCCTGTTCACCGCTGGTGTATCAGATCAACTGGCGATAAAATCATCAGATGTCTCAGTGAGTAGGTGCCTGGGTTGATGCCTGATTAAAATATTAGGAATCCAAATTCGCCGTTTTAAGATGTTCTTGTCATCATTAACATTTATCAAACAGCCAAATTGTCAGCCAAAAACAACAAAATGGTGCGAAAACCTGTCAAAATTTATTAAACATGAGAACGAAGTTTAAAAAATCTCAACCCAGATGCTGCTCAGAAAGCTGCACCACAATAAAACAGCAGATATTCGAAATTTCACTGGAGATTGACTACTTCCATTACATCCAGCTAAATTTTGCCAGAGATTCATAATTTAATAAACGAATAGAATTCAACAACACTAATTATTTTGCTAATACTTTAAAAAGTGTTCATCACAATAAAACTGTAACAGCAGTCTAACAGGAATTTGCCATGTGTAGAATATCCATTCATGATTTCAAAAGCCCCCCTTGTAGCCCGCTACACCCTGCAGTCCTCCAGCTTTCTCCACCTTTATCATTTTATTCACTTTTAGCTGTATGACTGCAGTTTCCACTTTAATCTCGCCAAAAGAAACCTTTTGATAGTTACAGCACAATAGAAATTTCTGAGACCATGTAAATTATTGAAAGTGATGTATTTTATGTTTGACTCCCTTTCAATGTGTAAACATCTGGCTTTGTTTTCTGGACTCCTGACTTATTTCAGATCTCTGATTTGTAGTGACGAGCAGCAGACTGAGATGTGGAAGCTGAAATGTTTGCCTTTAAATGAGGACTTATTGAATGAAGCAGCAAAATCAACCTGTTTATTCACATTGTACACTTCTGTTTTATTTATTTAGGAATATCTTGGTGGATAAACCTAATGATCAGTCTTCCAGATGGTCTTCTGAGAGTAACTACCCTCCTCAGGTCAGTTTGCTTGACTTCACTGTGTGAATGAATACTGTATGACTAGTTTGGTCATTATAGGTCATTTTTGACCATAGATAAGGGGGATAAAATGAGGAAATTCTATAGCGTGATAAAAAATGTATTATAAATTTCTCAATTATTTGACTCAGTTTCTAATTTACATTTCTTGGTCTGTAAAATTTCAGTGAATGGTCTGGAATGTCCAAAGCCAATTCTTAGATTTTATGTTTGGTTTGGTCTCCAAAACCATTCTCACCTGTGTTTATGAAAAAGACAATGTGGTCTATTTTTTTAGATATGCTGAAAATGTTCTTTTTGCTTTGAAAAATAATGTAAATTAAAGCAGGAAGTGAACAGAGACTATCACTCTCTTCTTTTATGGGATATATTTAGTTGTTTATAACAGAGTTCTAGTGAAATTCTCACTCCCAATAAACAGATGTGATGCTCATTAAAGTGACCATTGTGTTAACTAGTAAACTTAAAGTTACAGAGGAATAAATAATGTTTATTCCTCATTAACTAAGTAGATGTTATGGTTATAAAAATATACTTTAATCTACCAGGAATAATAAACTGCAACTTTATGTTGAAATGAAGAAATTCATAAAAATGTAACCTCTTTCTTTGTAAACAGCACAATGTCATTTTTTGTAATATAACATTATTATTATATAATATAACATTATTATTAGTAATATTATTAATGATGCATAAGAAGTCTAAGAGTTGTGATAATAAACAGAGCTGTGATTTTTAGGGATTTCTAAAAGGAGATATATTACTGCTTGATTGCAACGAACACATGAAATTGGTAAAATTGAGTATTTTCTTGGTGGTAACAAGTTTAAAGGTATGGAACACTGAAAACATTTTTTATGATTATTTGTGATTATTATCAGTCACTCTTGAGTTTTTCATGCAGGCTGAACATGAAAACAGTCTCCTGCACCTATCTCCTACGTTAGCTTCTGATTAGAAAATCCTGACAGATCTACGTCACACTGTTACTTCACATTCATTTACTCACCCATCTTGACTCACAACAACGAGGGCTGTTGTTGGTTTAGCGTCCAGGAAACAGCAGAGGACATCTTTGCTAGTAGAAGCTAACCATTAGCATTAGCAACTAACTCTAAGCTCCAGATAAAACATCCAAGTTGCAGAGCAAACTGAGTCAGTGGTAGTCATGTTGCTGCTAGCCAATCAGATGTTCGAATATAAGGCAAGGCAGCTTTATTTATAGAGCACATTTCAAACACAGAGGCAATTCAATGTGCTGTACAATTATCAGGACATGTTATGAAAACAACATAAAAACACAAATTAATATACACATAAATACTATTACAGTTTAGAGCTAAAGGAGAAGACCAAGTTACAGTGCAGATTACGGTGGAGATGACGCACGATAAGAAACAATTAATTTAAAGGCTGATGACATTAGGGTTTTTAGTTTTGTTTTAAACGACACTAGAGTTGGGGCAGATCTGAGGTCATGGGGAAGTTGATTCCATATGTGAGCAGCATAGTAGCTAAAAGCATCTCCACCATGTTTGGTTCTGACCTGTGGTTCTACCAGCTGATTGTTTCCCAAGGATCTCAGAGCCCTATTGGGTGTATATACAGGAATGAGATCGGACAGTGATTTATAAACTAGTAGGAACACTTTGAAATCTATTCTGTAGTTTACTGGTAACTAGTGTAGGGATCTAAGAACAGGAGTGATGTGCTCTGTTCTCTTAGTTCTTGTTAAGACTCTAGCAGCAGCATTCTGAGACTCCAAATCCTGTTGTCACGGTAACCGGTGTAGCGGTAAACCCCGGTAAAAAAGTTGACAATAATAATAACTGTCTTGTTTTAAAAAAAACTATTATCTTGGTGGATTACCGTGGCTGCGGTGTAGGCGCGGTGACCCTTACCAGCCACCGTATCATCTGCTGAAGTTGCCGGCGGCACATGCGCACTTTGTTGTTTACAACCAAAACTTTCTTGAAGCTAAAGCTGAAATAATGGCCAAAAGTGGAGACGGCAGCGCTCAGGAGGACATTTTTTATCCCTCAAAGAAGACAGAGTGGGAAGTACGGGCATCTTTTGGATATTTGAAGAATGCAGAGGGACAGTTGATAGAAGACGGCTATCCTGTTTGCAGCACGTGCAGAAAAAGTGTCTGTGAAAGGCAGCAACGCTTCAAATCTCATGTCACATCTGCGTGACCATCACCCACAACTCTACAGTCAACGCAAGGCAAGCTAACGTTAGTGTTTTAGCTAAAATGCGTGATCCGAGGATTTGGGTTGAGGGAGAAAGCAACGAGTCGCTATATAAAGCAGCCGCAGCGCCGCTACCTGCATATAAACCGTGTTGCGGACACCCCCATGTTGAAATGACGCTGTGCATTACGGGGCACCCAGGGGCAGATAAGAGTTGGTCTCTCTTCGAGAATAATTATGAATTTAACAATGATTACTGCCTGATGACATTTTCCCACATCTGCAAAGCTCACTGGAAGGACACAAACCGAGGACAATATTTTCCTGATATAGGGTTTATTACTCAAGTAAGGGTAAAAAAGTATCTGATTAGAAGGCTACTTGAGTACTGAGTATCATCTGATCTAATATTTTTAAAATGATGACATGAAACAGACATAAAATAAGAAGTTATGGGCAAATATTGGTATTTTAAAGACTAAAGGGGAAAAATGTAAACAAATAAACAACATAATTACAAAATAACACATTTTAGGCAAAATTTAGACACAAACTGAGGACAATATTTCCTGACATACAGGGTTTATTTAATTGTGTGAAAATGTAACACGTTTAAAAAAAAATACCGCGATAATACCGAAAACCTTGGTAATTTTGGTCACAATAACCGTGAGGTTAAATTTTCACACCGTGACAACCCTAGTCTGAAGCTATTTTCTCCTCCAGCTGACTTCTACATCCTGACTCAGGCGCAGCTGCGATTTTCTTCCCTTGAGTATGGCTTACAAGGCATTCATTCCCACTAGAGACCACTGCAAATATATTGGTTAGATGAGTGTTCAACACCTTTAAATTTTAGTATACGGACTCCTGCCAAAGCTACTGAATCACCAACAGTGAGTTTTGCAACAGCACTGCTGTTGTATAATGAGTTAATAGTAGGGCTGCAACAAACGATTATTTGGATAATCGATTAATCGGATGGGGTCTCGACACGATTAATCGATTAATCGGATTACATGGGGAAATTTTTAAAAACTGCTAGGGAAACCTTATTTCTCTCCTTCCTTCACTTTATTTAACACAACATTATTAGAAAACAGTTCAATAGCAGAAAAACAACATGCCATCACCTAAATTGTCTTATAAGGTGTATAGACAGAGACCCTAAGCTACATCTATCTGTGACCTAAAATGCTTGGTCCAAGTTAAACAGCTTAAGGGCAATTCTCATCTGTTTTGTTTGATCTCATCTGTTGACATTTATTTTAAATGTAATTAAACATAGGCTGTGAATTTATCAAAATTGATCACTATTTCCAAAAATGACTGAAAAAATACCAAATAAAACAAAAGTAAATGAATGCCATCCTCCTTGCGATGATGCCCTGGGCAACTGCCATAAAGTCACATCAAGAAATGCTGCTGATCATTCCAATGATCCCAAATAGACTCACATTAGGCCACATGAAAGCAACTGAACCCAAAAATATATTAACCAGTATATAACTGCACTCTCACACAACACGCCTGCAGCAACAGTTAGGACTCCTCCCTCCCTTTTAAAAGCGTTTTTGCTTCCGAGGACATTGTGGTTGTAAAACCACATGCTAGTAGTCTGGCCCCGGTGTGATCAACCAGTTTCTGTGGGAATGTGACGGCGGAACCAGGGCCAGATTAACACTTTGTTGTACCCTGGGCAACAATATTCAAGGGCTCCATCATCACGACCCAAGGATCACCATAATGTGGTCACATACAGAATATTTTACTGTAATATGCAGTAAATATACTCAATACTTGAATGCCTGACAACACGTAACCCGCCCAGAGTAACCTTTGACCCACCTCGTGTGGACTGACCAATGAGGAGAGGGTCTTAACTTGAGGCCCTCTCTTCATTGGTCAGTCTGCATGAGACTGACTCTCAACTGACGTTCAGTCGTAGGCAGCGAAGCGTCTCTGTGCAGTGCAAAAGCCCGGGTGGACAGTTTGTTTAATGTAGGGTGACCATATTTCAATTTCCAAACAAGAGGACAGGGGATCTGTGCCTATGACGTCACACTATGGCAACGCCACACAAACCATGTTGGGACCCATTTTTTGTAAGAACTAAATTAATATCAGATTCTGCCAATTAAAGGGCTCTAAAACAATTCATATGTAAATATTTTGCATATTTAATGCAAAATCTAATTTTTCTGCTTTAGTGCTGCAACAAGGTTTTATTAATAATAAATTATTATACCTTTTGTTTTACTACAGCATCGGTAAGCTTCCTGTGCACAGATTATTAAGGATGCTTGTTTCAACTGTGAGATTAGACGATAGGATCAATGAAAAAATAAGTTGTCACAAACTCCATGGAAACTTTCAGAGAATCCACAAATAGTGGCTTTCAAATGGTTTTGTTACTTTTTGCAAGTTTATAAAATAAGCAGATGAGACAGCATGTCTGATAATTTAGTTTTTCATCTGATAATATTAGAGCATGTCAGTAATGTCTGAGGGGCTTTTATAAACACCATATAACTAACACTCCTGGAGAGGGCATGAATTACACAGAGGCTTCTGGGGAGCCCAGTTATTGGGGGGGGGGGGGGGGGGGGGGGGCATTTGCCTTGGCCCCCAAAATGTCTTGAAACGGCCCTGGGTGTGTGACTGAGTTTTGAAGGTGATCTGAATTGTATCAGATGTATAAATATGACATGTGTATAACTTATTGTTTTTTACTGGTAAAAACGTGTAGTGGAGATAAATCTACCTACATTTTACTTTTCAACACTTTGTTTTGTTTTCTTGTTTTTATTGAACTATTTTCCTGTCCTGTCTGTCTCTCATCTTCCTGCATCTCCTCATAATTCTCCAGAAAATCTGCTGCCTGGATTCTTACCTTTTCACCTCATCAGTTACTTTTGAGCAGGTCAAAGGGATCTCCTGACCGAAAAGCGCAGAGCGCGTTTTCGATGCTGCGTGAGGTGACATCACCACAGCACAGGTGATGAGCTCCGCAGTAGCGCGCTTCAGGCACAAATAAGACAGAAAATAGAGAACATGTGCGGACATGAACGATCGTGTGCTAATTATAGTTTTTTGGTTGCGCCACTTTGAGAATGGACCGTGCGCTGGAAGCAGCTGCCTGGATCGCTGTGCAACAATGCGGAACCGGTTCGCAGCAGCTCAAGTCTGCCGGCTCTCCCTCGCGCTGATCTGCCTGTACCGGCTCTCCCTCACGCTGATCTGCGGCTCTCCCTCACGCTGATCTGCGGCTCTCCCTCGCGCTGATCTGCGGCTCTCCCTCGCGCTGATCTGCGGCTCTCCCTCGCGCTGATCTGCCGGCTCTTCCTCGCGCTGATCTGCGGCTCTCCCTCGCGCTGATCTGCGGCTCTCCCTCGCGCTGATCTGACTTGCTCTGGTCTGCGCGCAATGGCGGGCGGGAAGGGGGGGCGCTTTTGGAAGAGTTGTGCGACACAACGAATCGATGACGCAATTCGTTGCCAACGCTTTTAGTAATCGATTTTCATCGAATTTATCGATTCGTTGTTGCAGCCCTAGTTAATAGTGACAAAAATTAATCTCTAAAATATATATATTAATTTAATCTGATTAAAAGTAAAGTTTCCTATTGACTGTTGTGGAGTAAAGCAGCTGTTCTTTAACAGAACCTTTATTGGGCTTTGAGATTGTTGTGTTTAGTAAGAAGTACCCGAGGATGATCAGTTACTAACTGTACTTCATGTTTACTGTTGTTTTGGTTACTGCCTACTATTTAAATAATGGTTTCTGTTCATTGAACCCATTGACCTACTGCAGTGTCTGTGTGAGTTTGAAGTAAAATCTTTGAGTTTGCCTAGTACTGCAAGAGGAAATGAAAGTTTGCAAAACAATGGTTAACCACTCAGCTAGGTGGTGTCATGTACAGCACTTCAAGACCTTTTACGGCTGATAGCTTTCACATAATACCACATAACTTAGAATCAGTCATACTGTCTTCTAGTTTCTAAGTTAACGAGGTTGTGTTTGTTGTGCGGTAAAGGAACAATCAACTTTATTACTTTGGTTTAAATGTATTTATTCTACTACAACTTCAGTTTAAACCTAGATGTTCCTTAACTGCACAACAGAGTTTAGCTGAAGTTGTAGTAGAATAAATACATTTAAACCAATGTATTGAACTGTTGATGATTCTTGAAGTCTTTTTATCTCTTTTACACCACACTGTTCAGTTTCCCTTTGACTGCAGGAGGGTGTGTTGGGGGTTTTGGTATCTGAACATCATGTCACCTTGACCAAAAGTCAGCTTTATGCAATGAAAAAGAAGTTCACCCAAAGTCAATACAGGCAGCATCCATGAAAGCAGCTCTTATGCAGGATGTCATAGTTTGTAGGGAAATTCCCAGGGTTCGAGCGTCATTAAGCTAGCAGCAATATGCAGCAGTTTAATAGAGCAGATACTCTGCAGAGACATGAGATGTAACACTCAGTAAACAAAGTCCTCTGTTGAGGGCCATCACCATCATGTGTCTTTTTCAACAGTTTTTAATCCTGAAACTGGAAAGGCCAGCAATCGTTCAGAGCATCACCTTTGGGAAATATGAAAAGACTCATGTCTGCAACCTGAAGAAGTTCAAAGTGTTTGGTGGGATGAGTGAAGAGAACATGACAGAGCTTTTATCCAGGTAAGGTGTTCTTACATATGTGACCCGTTGGTGTGTGGTTACAGCAGAGCAGTGTTTGTTTGGGTTTCTGAGGATTATTGTAAAGTCTGCCCTGGAACTGGGAGATCAGGGTTCAGATCCCGCTCGCGCCATACCGAAGACTCTTTAAAAAAAAAAAGGTGGTGGTGGTGGGGGACTGGATACACTCAGCTGTAAGAGGTTGGATTGGGGGGTTAAACCACCAAATAGTTCCCGAGCCCAGCCACTGCTGCAGCTCAACGCTCCCCACAGGGATGGTGTGATAATGACTAATTCAGTGCAACAATCCATAATGGCACAGGGTTGATGTTGCTGCTTCATATTGATGATCTTTACTCTTGTTTGACAGTGGCCTTAAGAATGACTACAACAAAGAGACATTCACATTAAAGCACAAGATTGACGAGCAGATGTTCCCCTGCAGATTTGTAAAAATAGGTAAGGGCTGTGTGTGCTGTAATAAGTTTACATAGGGTATCCGCGGGTCCTTAAAAGTCTTAAAAAAGTCTTAAATTAGCTTTTCCACATTTAAGGCCTTAAAAATCCTTAAAAATTACAAATAATCCTTAAATACAGTTTCCAAAGGTCTTAAATTACCAAAGACCCAATAAACAAGATTATTTTATTTCTATAAAATTTTCGTGAATTTCTAGTTAGTGTTCAGCATTTTATGTGTGTCATATTTGCATAAGTGGAACTGTACACATTCAGTTGGTTGTGAAAGGGGGCTATTTTTAGATGAGCACATTAGCTGGTTAAGCTAGTGGGAGCTTGCATCATGGGGAAGTGCAAGTTTAATGGTAACTGGATGGCTAATCCCACGTTCGCGACGTGGTTAGAACCGGTTCCAGGCAATAGCTGGAAATTATAGCTTAAATGACATTTTAAAAAAAGGCTTAAATTTGGTCAAAGGGGCCTCAAAAAAGGTCTTAAAAATTCTTAAATTTGGCTCCCTTAAACCTGCAGATACCCTGTTTACAGTGCTCGTGTTTTGCTTAGGTACTCATTTGTCAAACTTTTTATCACCTCTCGTCTCAGTGCCTCTGATGTCCTGGGGTCCAAGTTTTAACTTCAGCATCTGGTACATTGAACTTCATGGGATTGAAGACCCTGATGTGGTGCAGCCCTGCCTTAACTGGTACAGCAAGGTGAGACCTGGAGCGTTAAATCATTCATGTGATAGATTAATCAGCAGGTATGACAATAAAACTGTTAGAATACTTGGTGACACACCTGGGCCCTCATTTATCAACCATACTTACGAACAGATCTGTGCGTATTTGGTGCGTGGGAACCTAATATTAATGTCGATGGTGGGAACAAACATGTTCCTAAATATAAGAACAGCTCTGACCATGGGTAGGAACAGCATCTATTGGTAGAACAGGGGAACTGTAATTCTGAAGTTCTCAGTCATCCATGCGTGCTCCTCATCCACACATTTTATTTATCCAGTGTGTAATTATGTCGGTGGAAAAACTGCTTTTTTGCATAATTGGTGCTAAAGCCAATAAAAGACACCTGTGACCGACAGGAATCTGACATTATATCATGGCTGATCTGTGTTTTTGGAGGATTTAACAGAGCGTTCACTCTGGAGGGAACGCGTTCTCTCAGCGCACTGATCTCAAAGGAAATCCTGCCATGCTGTTATTTGGCAGTCTTTGTGGCGCGAGAGATAAACCACACAAATCCAACTCCAGTTCATATTTTATTTTACAGCTACGAGAACCCTCCAGAACCTCCTCTGCTCTCCGATCATACACTCTGCGTTGCCAGGGTAACCAGATTGAATGACCGTTGTGAAGAGGCTGTGTTCTCAGACCGAAATTCCAATAAAAATAACTCCAAACAGAACGACTCCATAACCCGTTACTCCACAATTTATCATGTATGGAATTTATCATCAGACGATTGCGGGGGAACGGGCGTACGAGAGGCCACCGCGTGTTTCTTAAATTCGTCTTCGGACTGTTTGTACACACATTCTAAATTTTGGTCATAGGAGGGAATAAAGGACAGTCTCTACGAACGTTTCGTCAAGTACGTGTCAGTTCTGATAGGGCCAGACAGAAAGTCAAACACAAACCGTGTAAAACATCTGGCTACTTTCAAAATAAAAGACGTGCAGATTTCCTGTTGCATAACTAGTAAAAAAAAAAAAAAAACGTCATTACCTGTGACACCTCTGTAGTCGAGGTAAACACACGCTTGAACGGGCAAAATCATGTGCAATCTTGTAATTCTCCTGCGGTGCCAGCTGCTTGGAACTCTTGCAGCTGTTTCCCGTCTGAAACTCTCCAGGCGGGAAGAGAGGTGTGGCTGAGGTCACGGGTAAAAGCGTTTATTACCAGTCTAGTGAAAAGGCTCAGGTTAAAGGGAAATTTAGCAGTTTTGGTTTGCTTTTAGTACCCCAGTGTTCATTTTAATTCACTGTAGTTAAAAACAAAACTGAAACCCTTGTCCTTGCTGTGCGTTTGAGTTTTCAACACCTTAATCTAACTGCTGAAATGTCTCCTCAGCCTTCATTAGTTTCTACAGGAGCAGTTATCACTAAATCAAACGGATCAGCTGTGTTCATGATGTACAACATACAGGAATCGCGTGTCTGAGCTCTTGCTATTCAGAAGACTCCAGTGTTTGACTCTTGTTTGACTTCTATTGTGATCGGGTGTTCTTTTTATTTTCTTAGCTTCACCAGATAAATGTTTTCTTTGTTTCTTCTGAGGCGTCTGATTGCCAGAAAGAGTGCAGCGTCTGCCTCTTCCGACCACTGCCCTCGAGTCTCACACATTCAGACGGGGGATACTGTTCACAAGGATCCTGTTCACAAGGGGCAGAGAGGGCTGAGAGACTTTTGATTCGCCCTATGAAGGGTCATTTATCACCTACTGGCTCAAGAAAATCATTTATAACTAATAAAAAGTTACTTGACATGCCTTTAACAGGTGGCCTCTTCACAGGAAGCAAAAACCAGGGTCAGCTGTTCATTACCCTGCTGTATATAAACTTATTTACTTGATTTTTATTTATTTTTATCATGATGGTGGTTTGTTTACAGTTAATTTGCTATTTTGAGTTTGAATACAGTTATGCAGAAAAACCTCACAGAATCCAGTTGTCTTCTAGTATTTTAGTTTAAAAAAAACTCTCAAGATGTCCAAAACATTGATTGGTAGCTTCTGCACATTGATCATTTATTTTGATATAGGTCCTCTTGATTGACATTTAAAACTTTATTATGAATTTCAAAACTATTTGGTATTATTTGGTATCTCCCAAGTACTAAAAGGGACCTTTTGGTGACAGAGAACATGTTTAAAGTACAGATTTATACAGATTAGCCTCATTTGTGTGGTTTCAGTACAGAGAACAGGAAGCCATCCGGCTTTGCCTCAAACACTTCAGGCAGCACAACTACACCGAGGCCTTCGAGTCGCTGCAGAAGAAGACCCGGATAGCTCTGGAGCACCCGATGCTCACTCATCTCCACGATCGACTGGTCTTACAGGGAGACTTTGATGCCTGCGAGGAGCTCATAGATAAAGCTGTGAGAGGTAAATAAAAACTTTTAAAATGTATTTTGGTGTGATCTACTCAGAAAACCGCAGATATGCTGTTCTGCCTTTCATTATTTCTACTTAAACAGTCTTTTTCTTTCCTTTACAAGATGGCTTGTTTAATCAGTACATCAGCCAGCAGGAGTACAAGCCTCGATGGAGTCAGATCATCCCAAAGTGTAACAAAGGGACAAGCAGCCAAGAAATCAGCCGAGACGACGTGAACAGTGAGACAATCTTTTCCTAGTCTGTCCGTTAAACATTTCAGTCACATGAGAGCAGCTACAACATCTAACCCTTTATGTGTGCCCCCCCCCCCCCCCGTTATTCCACTCCCTCACTTTCCTCTCTGTCATCCTCCATCCACTCCACTCCACTCCCCTTCCTTATACCCTCCCTCCTCTTGTTCCAGGTGATGGTGACGACAACAGGCCAGGGATGAGGGGAGGACATCAAATGGTCATTGACGTGCAGACTGGTGAGACCTACGCAGACGGTGTTATGAATTTACTGTGACTCACTTCCTCCTCCACAAACTCAAAATGCAAATATCTGTCTGTTTAATCAGATTAGACTTTCCTCTTCGCTCCCGTCACCTCCAGCTTCTCCAGACATTATAACATCTGTTTTGACAGCAACGCGATTTTAGTTTGGGGTGTTTTCTCCATGTTTTTGGTACTTCCTTGCTGCCTATCTGTAGAAAACAAAAGGCTAGTGTGTGTGGGTTAGTGATGCAGCGTCTGCAGCTCGTTTCTGAGCTGCTTTGTCTCTGACCACACACTGACAGCTGTGTTTTGTTTGGAGGACACAACATAAGTTGATACAGGAAATCAAGAAAAAAAGACAAGCCATGTACCAGTCCCACGACTTGTTTATCTGCAATACCAAATCATTTTTAAACCCTTTTGTTTATATTAAGCATACAATTTCTCATGTTCTGTTTCTCATACAATCATCCATCCATCCATCCATGTTCTGAACCCGCTTAGTCCACGTAGGGTCGGGGGGGCGGCTGGTGCCTGTCTCCAGCGGTCAACGGGCAATCAGGCGGGGTACACCCTGGACGGAGAGCCAGTCCATCGTAGGGCAACACAGAGACACACAGGACAAACAATCATGCACACACACACGCACGCACGCACGCACGCACGCACGCACGCACGCACACACACACACACACACACACACACACACACACACACACACACACACACACCCCCCTAAGGACAATTTAGACAGACCAATTAACCTAACAGTCATGTTTTTGGACTGTGGGAGGAAGCCGGAGTACCCGGAGAGAACCCACGCATGCACAGGGAGAACATACAAACTCCATGCAGAAAGATTCCAGGCCGGGAAGCGAACCCAGGACCTTCTTGCTGCAAGGCAACAGCTCTAACCACTGCGCCACTGCACAGCCCCCTCATACAATCAGATTTCCTAATTTGCATGATTGTCTGTAATAAGTTATTTTCTGTCTGTTTCATCTTGTTGTTGTACCTCCACCTTCCTACTTCCTTTTTCGTGCCACAGCCTCAAACCCCATAAGTTGGGTTCAGAAGCAACATGACCTCTGAACTTCAGAAATGATTATTAGTTATTTTTATCCTCCATTATTGCAATTTTTATTGTTAATCATGTTTGTAATTCTGCTGTCAGTCTCTTGGCTAAAACCCTGTGTAAACAGGGCAGTGCAGTGAGATGTTTTAACATCTAAGTCTTATGTGCTGCACTTTGTTTGGGATATGACAGCAGCCCTAGGAAAACAAGCCATTCATCTAACCGTGTTAGACTTTAAAAATTAGACCAATCAATCCTGAACACATAGAGAAAGTGATGTCATGGATATGGTGTAATAAATTCCTTTCCACTCCTAAGACTTTTCCAGTCCCATCCCAAAACTGATAATGAAATGGGGTTTCTGGCTCAAAGGTTTAGTTATTTTATTTTATTAGGGGAGTTGGTTTGAACACGCTGTGAGACTGTAAAGCCACGCAACGCTCAGAGACGTCAGACATGCTCCTTCTTTGTCCAGGACTGAAGATGTCTTCTGTTGACTCCTGATCATCACTACCATCTCAGTGATGGCGTGTTGTCTTACCCGCTTTCTGGTCTGTTTTGGAACTATGATCGCGTTGGTCCAGTGCATTTCCTTTTACATAAGCCCCTGATATGATCTCAACCTCCTACATCGCCCTTCTGTGCTCCAGTGGCCTGGATCTGACCCACATGATAAACTGGATCCCAGTTCACTAGAAAATAGTTGATAGGATGTTAGCTTGCAATGCTGCCAGGCTATAATTTTTTGGATGAGTCTTATCGGGTTTGTTTTTACTAATCTTTCCAGTTTTTAGATGCTCCGAGAGAGTCTAAAAATCGGGTAGGGAACCCTGGTCCTGAAGAGCCACTATCCAGCACATTTTAGAGGTTTCCCTCTTTCAACACACCTGATTTTAATCAGCAGGTGATTAACAGAGCCTGATGAGCTGCTGCCTAAGTGAATCAACAGGGAAACAACTAAAACATGCTGGATTGTGGCTCTTCAGGACCAGGGTTCCCTACCCCTGCTATAAATATTTCCTCTTCCGGCTCTTGGAGAGTACAGACACCTTTTTCCTCCTCTCCTCCCTATCTTATCCCAAGGCTCTTTGTCTGTCTTTGGGTGCACAGTGCTTATGCATTTTTTCTGGAAACTGGAAATTATTAAAAATGGGTCCGGTCAGTTGGTCTCTCAACGCGACTGACAAAATTTTTTCTACGATGAGAACGGGAGAAGGGGCTCCCGGATGCCCCTCTGGGATAGATCCAGTTGAGCATATCATGGACTCCAGGAAACAGTGGAACCTGATTTGCCTCTCTCAACTGTCTCTAGAGGATTCTGAAGACGTCTGGATATTCGTGGTGTTGGTGTCAGGTTTCCTGCTTTTCGGCCTGAGCGGTTACCCGGCTTACCGGAAAATTAATGAGCTGTCGATGAATATTGTCTCAATCCCGGAGCTCAGGGATGGATTACACCGCGCTGTGAATGCACAAACTCATATAATTGTCGAGATGAGTCGTAAGCTTGGAACTTTGGCTGAGATTCAGGCTCTGGCACAAAAGGTGGATTCCATCTAGGAGCGAGAAGACGGATCAGCACGGATTGGGATAGATTAATTTACGCCATCATTGGATTAAGGGGTTGAGGACCATCAGAACTTTAAGACAGAGAGGAAATTATCTCTGTCTGGCCCCAAAACAAGTTCTTATCTGAATCTGGTGTCCTTGAGCCGGTGAGGCTGAAGCGATTGATCCCCCCTCAGAAGAAATGTGGAATGCTGTCGTCGCCAAGGCAACTCTGTCTCCTTATCCCAGCCTTGGCGGGACTGCGACCGGTGAAGGCCGTTGAATCGTTCCAGGAGTCACTGTGCTTTCTAAACCCAACTAACTCCCTCCCCTGTCCAAATGGAAGTGACGAGCGCTGCTTATCGCGGCTGCATGCACTGATGTGTGGAGACTCCCCAACCCTACCTCCCCACATAGTGGACACTCACCCCCAAATTCCACTACCTCCGCTCCGCTGCGCTCCGCTCCGACACGAACGCCGGAGCAAAATCGGTCCCGTTCTAGTCAATCAGAGCAATTCCACTACTGCGGCCGTGCTCCGGCAGTGCGGCGCCGTGCGGCGCCCTCTGTTCCGGCGTCCGGCAAAAATAGAATCGATCCTATTTTTGCCGGACGCCGGAGCACCTCCGCAGTAAATGGACAGAAATCACAACGGCCCAACAGGAAAAGGAGCAAGCACAACTTCCGTTTTTCACAATAAATCGCTAAACAAAAGGCGTTTTTTGTTTCATATGCACAGGTTTAACAACTTTTAACAACTATCAATGGCGGCTGAAGTTTAAATGCACAAAAATAAGCCATAAATACAGTTGCCACTATCAAAGTAGTCACACTTTGTTGATCCAAACACTGCTGATCTCTCAACACAAATGATGGGCAGATTAAACAGCTCATTTCCGATGCTTCTCCCGCACAACGGGTGTTTGGATCTAACTTCCGCGTTTATTGCTCGGACTGTATCGCAAGATCTCGAAAATCCCGCGCATGCTTGTTTGCCCCCCTCAGGTCTCCGCACCGGAGCGGAGCCGTTGTAGAGCGGGTACCAGTAAAAATTGAGTTCGGAAGCGAGCGGCTGCGGAAGGCGGGGGCGGACCGGAGCGGAGCGGAGGTAGTGGAATTTGGGGGTTATGTTGTGTGATGTCTGAAGTCTGTTGCATCTCTGTCTGAGGTGTTTTTTGCATAGCAAAGCTGCTCTCCCTGTGGAGGGTAACTCTGAAGTGCCTTTTTTTCCTCCACCTGACCCAATCCTCATGTAAACCCTGTGATCTCTATTAAGGTAGTGCGACTCGGGTTGCGAATGACCACAGTCACCAATTCTTGTCATGTGTCTATGTATGTATGTATGTATGTATGTATGTCTGATCTCAGCATTGTGTGCTCAGAAACTCTAATTTCCCCCTGGGATTAATAAAGTATCTTTGAATTGGATTTGAATGAAAACAAATCCACAATTAGATTTGTGTTAAAGGTCAAGTCTGCTTATGGGGAAGATCGGAGAGTTCTTCTGAAGCTGGTTTTGTAGTGGAGCTGACACCAAGTCTGATTGTTCCATCTTCTCTGCAGAAACCGTGTACCTGTTCGGTGGCTGGGATGGCACACAGGATCTGGCAGACTTCTGGGCTTACAGCGTTCAGGAGAACCAGTGGGCGTGCATCTCCAGGGACACAGAAAAAGAGGTGAGAATGACTCCAGCGGCATTATTTTTCCAGTGTTCTTCTTTTTGCTCTGTTCAGTCAACTTCAGATAAAAACTATTTAGCCTTACACTTTCTAAACCTGTCTGTTCTATTGTCCACCACATAGAACGGTCCAAGTGCTCGCTCGTGCCACAAGATGTGCATCGACTCCCAGCGGCGTCAGATTTACACGCTCGGCCGCTACCTGGATTCCAGTGTTAGGAACAGCAAGTCTTTAAAGAGCGACTTCTACCGCTACGACATTGATGCTAACACCTGGACTCTTCTCAGCGAGGACACGTCAGCTGATGGAGGACCAAAGCTGGTGTTTGACCACCAGGTAGCTTTCAGTTTATGAGTGTAGTAGTTTACTCCTTTGTTGAAACTACATTTAGAAATTGGATCCTGCTGAGAAACATTTAAAAGGAAAACAACTTGGGCCTGATTCTGAGGGGTTTGTGATCATTTTTCTTGGTTATATTTGGTTATTATTGGATGTGCCTCAGCCCTAAAGGCTGATTTTAGGATTATTTTAGAGAAAGACAACAAAACAAGCAAATTTAGGAATGTAATTACCTTTGTGCATCATTGTTTTAAATAAACTGTTGGCGCTTTTATCCAAACAGATGATTTTATCCAAAGAGATCTACAGTTTTAACCCAATGTGCATGTATTTATTTGTCTTTTACCTATTTAGTGAAAGTATAAAAATTATTTTAGCCAGATATTAACATCTCTTTGAGTTCTTGCCACTATTTTCTGCTTCACTCTTTTCGACGCTTCCCATTTCCCTTCTTGTTCCCTCCTCTGTGTCCCCGTACAGATGTGCATGGACTCTGAAAAGCACATGATCTACACGTTTGGCGGCCGCATCCTTACCTGTAACGGCAGTGTGGAGGACAGCCGGACGTCAGAGCCCCAGTTCAGCGGCCTGTACGCCTTCCACTGCCAGGCGGGGACGTGGAGCCTCCTGCGGGAGGACTCGTGTAACGCCGGGCCAGAGGACGTCCAGTCTCGCATTGGACACTGCATGCTCTTCCACACCGTGAGTACAGTTGCTGTGTTGAGGATGATCGAGCCAGATTGATGTGTGATTCACTGACTTGCATGTTTTGTAATTGTTTCCCATCAGAAGAACCGCTGTCTGTATGTGTTTGGGGGTCAGAGGTCAAAGACATACCTGAATGATTTCTTCAGTTATGACGTGGATGGAGACCACGTAGAGATCATATCTGATGGCACTAAAAAGGACTCTGGGATGGGTAAGAAGACATTTTAACAACTTGATTTAGAATAATTTCAAACTTCATCTGTTTTGTCATTATAGAAACTCTACAGAATGGGAGTGGAGGCTGAGTGGGGTTAGGGCTTAAATTAGTTATAGATGGGTTTAATTGCACAGCTCTAAAACTGGATATTCAGTTCCAGGTCGTAGCATAGAATAATATTAAAGCAGATATTTTTTCTCCTTGTATGTAGCTGATGGGTACAAATTAGTTTCAACTGGACTTCTGAGCATCAAGTCATTAGACTCCCCAGTGATGCTATAGCATCACACTCGGTGTTAACACTCGGGCAGTTTGCAAACCCTTCCATAACAATAAAACAGAATTAATGCTGCTCTTATTTTGCTTTGGGAACTCAGTGCTGATACCGGTATCCGTGCCGATACAATACCGATTCCAGTATTGCTATCGGTAAAAGTTAACTGATACCAGGAACCGATACCAATGCAGTTGCTTGAAAATGGCTTCACTGTAACTTGTCATTTCTTTTCACCTAATATTTTAGTTTGGTGATGGTTTCTATTCATACATTTTACTTTTTATCTACCTCAGTCTTTTCCTGTTGAAAGTAGAGAAGAAAATAAAAATTGTATTCCAAATTATTGCATTCTTTTTGTGTGGTAGAATTATCAGTATCGGTAATCGGTATCGGCGAGTACTCTGATCCAAGTATCGGCATCGTATCGGTTTGGAAAAAAGGAGTATCGTTGCATCCCTATTTGTTTCATATCACCTTATATCTTTGTTTTAGGTAGGCCCTGTTACTGTTTTGTCTCTCTGTACAGCACTCCTACACTAAATAAACCGGGTCAGAAACCCCTTTCACTTTTTTTTATTCTCATGGAGTTTCTAAGGTTTGAGTCTACAGTTGTTGTGATTTAGGTTCATTTGATAAAGATTTTTTTATTCCTTTTGCCGACGGTGTGTTAAAAATAAAGCCTATTTTTTACATGGGGTAGATGATTGATTAGTTTCTTTTAAAACAAAAAAAATGCTGTTATTTGAACTCACTTACCCAGTGTTTTGGTGTCTTTAGAGTCTCTGTGCTTTGTTAGCATTCATGTGTTCGTTTTGAGCTCACGCAAACTTTAGACGCCATCATTGCTGAGCCGCTGCTGGTTTAAGTCTCTGATACGCAGCTTACAGGTATTGTTTTACATTGGAAGAGAACCAGACGTGACATTGGGTAAAAGCAGCTGCTGAGTCTGAGGTGTGATGTTGGTTTGCTCGGAGTCCGAGATCTCGTGTTGGCTTCTCTGCTGCAGCTTCAGCTCTACGTCAGCATCAGCACAAACAGGCTTTGTTCGCCTCACGCTGACCCTGGTTGGGGCTGTGCGATATGACAGAATGTGTAGAACCATGAATATATAACCGTGCCGCAAAATGTTGCAGTGACTAACATCTGCAGTTGTGAC